AAAAAAAAAAGAAACCGCTATAAAACATTCCAGAAACTGTAAAATTTAAGCAAAAAGGCATTAGATTAATGAATAGAATTTTTAATTTAAAATCTAAAATTAATCAGAAAGAATTACCTTTAGCAATGAACACAAACATTTCCCTATATTAAAATGCCGACCATGTAGAAAACAAAGATAATTGTGATTTGATTCAGATATGAGCAAAATGTATTGGCTTAAATCTTAGCTACAGTAAGAGAAAGAGATAGAATTTAAAAAAGGACGAGGTAAATCAAACAATGATCAAAACTGTCGAATGATGGAGCAACATAAAAATCAATCAGAAAACTTTGAAGAAACAGAAACTAGACTGTGTCTAACCGCAAAAACAAGGCTAAGCATATGTTATTACGTTGAAAATTTTGAGTCATTTTTGTTTGTTTGATTTAGATTCAACAAGTAGACAATACGATAAGGTACAGTTTAACTGCCATAGTCACATTTGACTGTCAACAAGTCCAAATAAAAGAAAAAGAATTACAAAGAGTAGTTTTATATTGATAGCTGTTTTATAATTTAGTGCTTACACCGTCACGTTTTTATATCTCTTATAGAATAGCAATTAATGAAGAGCATCCTATAAGACAGCTCTTATGAAGCAACGGAAATCAAATTCTATAAAACATAGTGACGACATAGATGACACTTTTTTTTTCTTTTTTAAAGTGAATTGTAAGCTGTAAATTCTGCAACAGAACTAATATGTTTAAAGTTACCTGCTTAATGAGATCTTGAACAAGGTCAAGTTTTCCTTCTTGAGAATGAACACTGTTCAGGACTTCACGGAAAGTGTGCCCGTCAATCAACACTTTACAGCCACTTTCAGTCTGAGCCAAAATGTCCGGAATTTCTGTCTGTTCCGTTGAATCAGAGAAACTAAAAATGTAAGAAAAATTTTTTTTTGTTAAATATAAAAACAAAACCTTTTTTTTTTATTTGCTTTGAATTCCATTGATTATAAGCGGCTAAAATGACCTTTAAAAAACGATCAAATAAGAAATGCTCAAATAAGGTAAGATAATTAAAAAATAAGCTTTTTTTTTAGCCACTTTTCTTAAGCTCTCAATTGCCAATCATTTTTCAAAGAAGACACAGTATACAACTGCAAAAAAATTGATGTTTTAAAGCCAAAGTTAAACAGTTGCAGGAAATTTTCATACATAGACAATAGTGGCAGCAGGATCCAAGTATAATTTGATGAAACAAAAATCAAATTTCTTTTTTAAACTCTTCTTCTACTTCCCAACTTCACAGTTTTCTATAATGAATAAATAATAATCAAAACACCTATTAATGATGACCAACGGACAGTGCCAAAAACTGATTGAACAGTGAAGGAAGGTGTACAGCAGTGATCAGTTGTTATCAACTGATATTTGCTTGTACCAGAAAAAAAAGAAAGAGCCATATCGGTTATTGAGTAAACAGTTTTGTCCCGTTAATGATAAATCAACAAGCAACAATAAAATAAACAACAACAACAACAACAAAAGCAACAAAAACCATAAAAAAGAATGGAAGTCGACGATCAAAACCGAGTTTGATTTCAAAAACAAACAGAAAGAATGTGAAATCATTTCATTTTTTTTTTCCCGTCCGTTTGTTGTTGTTGTTTTTTTTTTTGCTTCGGCAATTAAGCTTTTTCTGATAATAAAGTTGAATTTATTTTCCTCCCCATTTTTTTTTTCTGCTCCATTTTCAAAAACAAACAAAAAAAATTTTTTTTTCTGACCAAAAATTCGTAAGTAAATATTGGTAAATATTAGAATAAATTTTCGTTTTAAATTATTAACAAAAAAAAAACCTCCGAAAACAAGCAAACGGACACTGATAAACTCCGATAATCGAGTACCATAGAACAACAGATTAGAATATTTCTTTCAAAATAAAAAAAAAAACGAATTCTTCTTCTTCCTTTTTTCTTCCATCTTTTTTTTGATCAGTGAAATTAATACAGGGGTGGAAAAAGAGAAGAAAAAATGAAGAAACATATGATAAGCGAGAAAAAAAAAGAGAAGAAACAGAAGAAACAATAGTTAAAAGAATAACATAACTGATGAGTTTTTTGTCTTTCGGGCAGATTTTCCTCTCTGTCCTCCAGCTTTTTTTTCCTTC